TAAAAAAGTGAAAAACGTACTTGAGTCAGCAGGTCAGAACCTTGAGGGATGCGACCACGAAGACAAACTTCGAACAAGCGATGACCCATATCACTTTGAATAGAGTTCACTGTTTCACGGAGCTGTTTGACAATAGCTTGTGCGCGGAACGAATCAACATTGAAACTGTTTGTATGCGCCGGGAATATTAGAAAAGCCACAACCGTAACATCACTTTTCGCTTGCTGAAAAAGAAGAGGTGATGGGAATCGTGAGTGAGGGACTGCACGAGTTGGTGGAAATGAATTGGGTTGAACAGACAGTTTATCATTGTGCACAAAGTCAGATGAATAACAAAGCGTAGATCCATTGACACGTGGACCTTTTGTTTGGTTGTATGGGTCTGTAGCCTCAACCCTGGATTCGGAATGGCACAGCACACAAGGTTGACGGTGATGCTGCACATTGCCAAATTCAGTCTGCTTGTGTCGCATATTATGATGCATTAGTGGAAGGATGAAAACAGCGCCAGACATATGTCCTTGGAGGAATACTATAGCGCCTATATCCTAGCCGGTTACAACTTCACTATGACATGGTGTGCACTTTCCCACACATTGATTTTATCATCCCTAGGAGTGGAAGCAAGGTTCTTTGACAGAAGGGAATTGAGAACGACGATTGTCATTGCGAACTCGTTGAAGAAAGACACCATTTTGTGAAAAAGGATCAGTTGTGTAATACTTTTCATTTTGGTACCTTTTCTTAAACTTCAGCTACTCTCGAACCCACATCACACCTATGATCGAAACTCTCTTAGATCGAGTCCTTTTCACAAGTGTTGAATTGAAATATCCGGATTACATAATCATTTTTTTCCTAATGTATAACTGTAACTGCTGTTGTTAAGGTTCTGAAAGGTAATTTTATCAAATTCGAAAGTATTCCGCTATGACTTTAGTAACAACGGAATACATGTGAACTGGCAACAATTAAATCAGTCGAATACAGTGGAAGAATGAATTCTGAAGATACGCACCTTAAGCTGATGGTTCAACCGAGCCAGGGACTCAATGAAAACATCCGCACCTTTGTTTTGGAACTCGTATCGACCGGCGATGAAGAAATACAGTGTCTTATCCAGATCGAAATCGTAGTGCCTATATTGATCGCAAGAAAAAAAAGACCGGAGAATGAAAAAGTGAAAGAAATGAAATACTCACACATCAGTTTAGAAAATAATAAAAAAATGAGGGGAACGAAGCTTGGTCTTAAAAAAGAGAGAACTTATGGACAACACTCACCCATAAAAGTGCCCTTGAATGAACTGATTAAGTTTTTCTTTGGCCAAAGCATGACGATTCTGAAACTCGTGCAGCGCGGCAAACTTGATTACATTCAAACCATTGGGTGTGATCACATCCGGTTCGCGCCGCAGCAAGTACTTGCTTTCTAACCCGGTAATTTTACTCACAGTGGTGAACACGTGAGCACAATGAACACCTGCACGCTCTAGACAGTAGCGATGATATATATTCCTGTCGCCTGCTTCCTGTAATCAACAAGAAGAGTGGCATGTGTTCAAATGTGAGTTACGGAAATCAGGATGTGCAGCAGAATTTTCTCATTTTACAGGAAATTACAAGCGATGAACGGGGTTAGCGGCTAGTATGAGAACAAACCGTCGTTTAGATACGGTACTCACAAGGCCAGACTCGGCTTCACAATCGGGTGGTGAATATGGACTACAGGTTAGGGAGTGCCCAGTACGAATCAAGTATGCATGTTTACGCCTAAACGAGTGAAATATGATGACACGACGGACAGTTAGACGAGCACAGCAGAGAGTGATCTGATTGAACTAGAACACTGCATTCGACTGAAAAGCAGCATACTGGGTGATGAAACCGAACACGTGAGGGGATTTAGTACGGATGTTTGGTGGAAAATGTTAACGAAAGCACAACCGTAGAGAAGCGGGCAAAGCATAAAGGAACAACTAGTGTGAGTTAATTCGAGGGTTAAAAAGCATGGAGACATTGATTGAGGCCGTTTTTATCTTTCCCTCTCTTAGTCGCACAAACATTAGGTGCGAATATGTTTAATGCCCATGAAGAGGCATAAAAACTAAATGTCGAATGCTAATTCAGGCTGACCGTTCTTCAGGTGTCATCCTCAGGTACAAACCATAGAGTATCTAATCAACTATATATTCGGAAAGTAACAGACTAGAGATTCACTTTTGTTGCCAGAAAAAAAAACTATTAGGCGAAAAAGCACGAGAGAGAACCAGTACATATTAATTTAGTACCAGTACGAAAGATCTGGTATGATGGGAAACTGTGAATAGAGCTATCGAATAGTCAACTGTCTCCCTGGGTTGCTAGCGGCCAAAAATGAACTAACTGCAGATCATTGAAGACAATATGTGACTCGTGCATCTACTTAATATTCTTGCAAATGCAGTCCATATTAATGCTCTATCTTCCCTTTGACTCTGCTCTCAACAGTCCAATCTTTATTCTGCTTTTTTATCCAAATGGGCGGACTAAAGACAGCAACCAAAACCGGCTCGCGAAAGTGCACGGTTACTGGTTGTAAAAACTGAAAGCTGAACTGAAACTGCTGGTTCTCGTCAGTCCCAGTACGAGCAAGTCAGTTTAGTGGTACCAGGCACATACTTCCCATGCGAAAGGTCCGGAGTTCAAAGCCCAGACGGGTCATTGATGAGTG